AGTGCTAGGATATAGGCTGGGCATGGTGGCTCACCCTGTAATCCCAGCACTTTGGGAGGCCGAGGCAGGCAGATCTCTGGAGGTCAGGAGTTTGAGACCAGCCTGGCCAACATGGTGAAACTCCGCCTCTACTTAAAAAAAGAAAATTAGCTGGGCATGGAGGCGCACACCTGTAGTACCAGTTACTCAGGAGTCTGAGGCGGGAGAATCACTTGAACCCGGGAGGCTGGAGGTTGCAGTAAGTTGAGATTGCGCCACTGCACTCCAGCCTGGGCCACAGTGCAAGAATGCAACTCAGAAAACAGCAACAACAACAAAGCCACAGTGCTAGGATACAGGTGTTAGCCTCCACACCTGGCCTAAAATAAGAATTCATTTTGCCTGGCTAGTCTTCTGTACAGGTCTGGGACACACCTATTTTTCAGCCTTTCAGCAACCTTGCAAGGTAGGTTTCTTAATCCCCATTAGAGAGATGAGGAAATTCCAGACAGTGAGTACCTTGTCCCAGTGTCTAAGCCAGTACATTAGCCTAAGCTTCAGGCCCCAGGAGGCCCTGGCCTAGTATCTGGCCCCTCCAGATGGGTCTAGCCAGGCCCACAGGCCCTCCCACGGGGGTCTGCATTCTTGACTGGAACGATGCCAGGGCGACGTTTGTGCCTATAAAAGGCTCCAGACGCACTGGCCCCAGCCCCAGGCGTGTCCCCAGGGACATTCTTGACCCATGCACGGCTGGATGGGTCCCGGGGCCTGGTCGGAGGCGTCTGGCTTCGGGTCCCAACAGCAGCGCTCCACCTTCCGGGAGACCTCGGAACTGCAGGCAGCAGCGAGACCCGGTGTTTTGAGGACCCCTGACCCAGACTGGGGGAACCCCAAGTCCCTGCTGGCCACGCTTAGAGTGCCCCTGGAGGCCACACACATGGGAAACCAACCAGTTGGAACACAGGCACACTCGATTATTAGTTTTCTACAAAATTTTAAAAGCACCCAGTTTGGGCAGGCTCAATGGCTCACGCCTGTAATCCCAGCACTTTGGGAGGCCGAGGTGGGTGGATCACTTGAGTTCAGGAGTTTGAGACCAGCCTGGCCAACAGGTAAAACCCCGTCTGTTCTTAAAATATAACATTAGCCGGGCATGGTGGCGTGCCACTTGTAATTCCAGCTACTTGGGAGGCTGAGGCAGGAGAATCACTTGAACTTGGGAGGCAGAGATTGCAGTGAGCTGAGATCACGCCACTGCACTCCAGCCTGGGCCACAGAGTGAGACTCTATCTCAAAATAAATAAATAAATAAATAAAAAATGGAGGCCTGGGCCAGGCATGGTGACTCACTCCTATAATCCCAGCACTTTGGACTTTGGGAGGCCAAGGCAGGTGCATCACCTGAGGTCAGGAGTCTGAGACAAGCCTAACCATCATGGTGAAACCCCGTCTCTACTAAAAATACAAAAAAAACAGCTAGGTGTGGTGGTAGGCAATTGCAATCCCAGCTACTCGGGTGGCTGATGCAGGAGAATTGTTTGAACCTGGGAGGTGGAGGTTGCAGTGAGCTGAGATTGTGCCATTGCACTCCAGCCTGGGGAACAAGAGTGAAACTCTGTCTCAAAAAAAAAAAAAAAAAAAAATGAGGCCTGGCCAGGTACAGTCATTCGTGCCTGTAATCCCAGCACTTTGCAAGGCTGAAGCAGGAGGATCAACTGAGCCCAGGAGTTTGAGATCAACCCAGGAAACATAGTGAGACAAAAAAAAGAAAAAACTTAGCTGAGTGTGGTGGCTTACACTTGTGATCCCAGCTACTCAGGAGGCTGAGGCAGGAGAATCACTTGAACCTGGGAAGTGGAGGTTGCAGTGAGCCAAGATTGCGACACTGCACTCCAGCTTGGGTGGCAGAACGAGACTTCATCTCAAAAACAAAAAAAAGTCAGCTAGGTGTGGTAGTGAGTGACTGTAGGCCCAGCTACTTGGGAGGCAGAGGCAGGAGGATCACTTGAACCCAGGAGGTCAAGGCTGTAGTGAGCTATCATTGTGCCACTGTACTCCAGCCTGGGTTACAGAGCAAGACCTTGTCTCAAAAAAAGAAAAATAAATATATAAAATGAAAAAAGAAAAATAAAAGAAAAAAATAGAAGATCTAGGTACATATCCATACAGTATATGTGTGGCTCCTTTTAACTGGCTGCATAGTATTTCTCAGCAAGGATGTGCCACCACTGATTAAGCCAGGGCTCTGCAGAGGGACTTGTGAATGGGATCCAGTCCTTTTGCCGTGATATGTATTACAATGCAATAAATGTGTGTGCACATGCTTCCTTCCTCCTGTATGTGTGCCAGTGCACCTTGGGTAAATCTCTATAAGCACCTGTCTCACCGCACCTGTAGGTTTGATTTTGAGAGAGGAAGAGGTTGTCTTCCGCCACGTGCCGGGAGGGTGCTTGTTACAACCTCAGGCACTCAGTTTATTCACGGATTATCCAGGGCGCCCCCTCAGGAGCTGTCTGGAACTGCAGCTACCCGCAACAAGGATTTGGTATGGCGGGGGAAAGGCCACTGTAGCCCTACACGTGATTCCTTCCAGACCCTAAGCCAGAACGTTGAATCTTTCAAATTCACCGCGGAGGCTCCAGGGACCTAGCGTTTCCATTTATTATTCACTTACTTTAAATTTAGCAGGCCTCTGGCTGGACGCGGTAGCTCGCGCCTGTAATCGCAGAACTTCGGAGGGCGAGGTTGGTCGATCACTTGAACTCACAAGTTCAAGGCCAACCTGGGCAACATAGCACAAGGCGATACCCTGTCTCTCTATCTTTTTTTTTTTTTTTTCATTTTGAGATGGAGTCTTGCTCTGTCGCCAGCTCACCACCACACCTGGTTAATTTTTTGTATTTAGTTAAGACGGGGTTTCACCGTTTTGGTCAGGCTGGTCTCGAACTCCTGACCTCAAGTGATCCACCCATCTTGGCCTCCCAAAGTGTTGGGATTATAGGCGTGAGCCACCGCACCCGGCCTATCTTTTTAAAGTATTAACCACTTAGATGAATTATTTAAAATAAATGTACATGCATTTATTTAAAGGGTAACGTTACATCGAAAACAGTGTACATGACAAATCAGTATTCCTAGCCATGAAAGAAAAATAGCAATCATGGGTGCCTCACATCTGCAATCTCAACACTTTGGGAGGCCTAGGCGGGCGGATCATCTGAGGTGGCGAGTTTGAGACCAGCCTGACCAACATAGTGAAACCCTGTCCCTACTGAAAATACAAAATTAGCCAGGCATGGTGCCACATGCCTGTAATCTCAACTACTCGGGAGGCTGGGGCAGGAGAATCGCTCGAACCCGGGAAGTGGAGGTTGCAGTGCAATGGTGACATTGCACTCCAGCCTGGGCAACTAGAGCAAAACTCCATCTCAAAATAGCATTCGCATTTAGTCTTAATGATAATCTGGCAGACAGACGCCATTATATTATTGCCTTTTACAGAGAGGAAACCGAACCACAGAGAGTTAAGGAAGCGCCCACCGGCAGAGTTGGTAATAGGAAGACCCAGGGTGTGAACCCTCCAAAAGCAGGTGCCACGCCCTCTTGATAGGCGGTAAATCAAATATAAAGACAAGGCAGGCCGGGCACAGTGGCTCACACCTGTAATCCCAACACTTTGGGAGGCTGAGACAGGCAAATCACCAAATCAGGAGTTGGAGACCAGCCTGGCCAACATGGTGAAACCCGGTCTCCACTAAAAATACAAAAAATTAGCTGGGGTGGTGGCCTGTGCCTGTAATCCCAGCCACTCAGGAGGCTGAGGCAGGAGAATCTCTTGAGCCCGGGAGGCGGAGTTAGCAGTGAGCCGATATCACCTCACTATACTCCAGCCTGAGGAACAGTGCAAGACTCCGTCTTAATTAAAAAACAAAACAAAACACAAAACCAAGGAAAACCTGGGGCTAGGCGCAGTGCCTCACACCTGTAATACCAGAATTTTGGGAGGCTGAGGAGAGGGGATCTCTTAAGTCCGGGTGTTCAAGACCATCCTGGGCAACATTGCGAGACCCCGTCTCTACAGAGAAAAAACAAAAACAAAAATTAGCCGGGCGTGGTGGCACGTGTCTGTGGTCCCAGCTACTCAGGAGGCTGAGGTGGGAGGGTCGCTTGGGGCCAGGAGCTCCAGGCTGTAGCGAGCGGTGATTTTGCCACTGCACTCCAGCCTGGGCGTGTAGACCAAAGCAAAAAAAAAAAAAAAAAAAAAAAAAGAAGAAAACCCAGGGAGGTAGATAATTTTCCCTAGGTCCTGCGGCCGCTGGACCACGAGGCCTGCGCCATGCGGTGTTAAAGGGAGAATAGCAGGTGGTGGCGCGCAGCCCCCGCGAGTAAACGCCCGGCGACGAAACCGACGAAACCAGGCGATTGAAGGAACAGAGAGAGAGGGGCCTGGCTGTGCGCCCCCGCCCATTGCCCCTCGCCGACGGGCGCCAGGCACCTGCGGGAAGGGCGGGGGAATCGCCGTTCCTTCCCCGCCGCGCCCTCTCCGCCTTCTCCCCGCCTCCTTTTCGGGAGTCCGGAGGCCGCTCCCCAATCGACGACCGAGACCCCGCAGGCCACGCAGCCCTGGAGCCGAGGCCCCCCGACGGCGGAGGCGGCCGCGGGTCCCCTACAGCCAAGTTTAGGCAGGAATCGCCCGGACCGGGCCGCGGCCCCCAGGCTTCCCGGAAGCGCAGTGCGCGGGTGGCACCACAGTGCCTGGAGCTGTTGCGCGCCCCGGGCGTCCCCACCCCAGGGACCCCTACGGAGGCGACCCGAGGGCTTAGGTGAGAGTTTGGGCAGCAGCGGCGAGGAGGGGCGTCTACCCCATCCCCGGTGCCGGCCGGGGCGCGCGGGCCTGGAACTCGGGGTTCAGACTCCCGGCGACTCGGACCACGCGGCTGAGCGTGCCCAGCGCCGCGTTCCCCCACCCCGCCGCCACGCCAAGCGCCGTGGTGGCCGCGCTGGGGCCGCGCAGCTCGGCGACAGCAGGCGTGGGCGGGGGTGGGGAGCGCCCCTCCGCGTTCCCTATCGCCCGAGGCCAGGGCCCGGGGACTTTTATTGTGACACGGCGGGCTCCCGGCTCTGCTTAGTCATGGTGACCTGCGCGCGTTCCGCGCCTCCCCCACGCGCAGCGATGGAGGCGCCGGGGCTCGGGCGGCGGAGGCGGAGCCGGAGCGCGGCCATGGCGGGGTGAGTGAGGCGGGCTGTGCCCGGGTTGCGGGTGTCGCTGGCCGCGAGCGCCCCTGCGGTCAAACCCGGGGACCTGGAAACTGGGCGCCACAGCCCGGGCGCCTCTGAGTTCCCGGCCCGGACTCGGAGGGCCAGGAGGGCGCGGCCTGGGTCCCATCGTTTTGTTGGACGGCGCGAGTCTCGGGGTGGCCGAGCGAGAGAACCCAGGAGGCGCGTTGCAGACGGAGGCTCGGGGGCTTCTGGGCGTGGGGGGGGGGGGCTTGACCTGCGTTCTGGGGTTGGCAGACGAGCGGCCGCGGCGAGGTCACTTCCTCGCTTCTCTGGGCCTGCTGGCGGCTCAGGAGGGGCATGCGCAGTCGCCCACTTGTCGCTTTGTAGGGTGGGGGAAGTGCCTGGTGCCCAAGGGGCATCGTTGACTGATTGGCCAAAGACCAAGAGGCAAGCCCAGGGCCTTGGCACCGGAGTGGGGCCGAGTGGCACCCAGGGAGTGTGGAGGAGGGCACTCAGGCAGGCCCGGTGGCACGGGCAGTTAGCCAGCCACCCGTTTACTGACCCCTTCGCAGTGCCAGGCCCCAGGCGTGAGGCACAAGAGAGGGTTGGCCCGACGCCGACCTACATAGGGCTCCCTGCCATTTAGGCGCTGGGGTTGGGGACGAGAGACAGTCGATCAACAAACAAGCAAAGGAGGTCATTTCAGTTCCTGACAAGCACAGTGATGGCAATTTAACAGGGAAGAGGAGACTGAATTGAGCCCCAGAAAGAGGGGGGTGAGAACTTGCAGATCCGCTTAGGGGGCCACTTGGAGGTCCCCCACACCTTTCAAAACATAACTCACGTCTGGGCACAGCAGCCTGTGCCTGTAATCCCAGCATTTTGGGAGGCTGAGGAGTGGGATCACTTGAGGCCAGGAGTTCGAGACCAGCCTGGCCAATACGGTGAAACCCATCTCTACTAAAAATACAAAAAAATTAGCCCAGCCTGGTGGCGGGTGCCTGTAATCCCAGCTACTCAGGATGCTGAGGTATGAGAATAGTTTGAACCTGGGAGGCAGAGGTTGCAGTAAGCCAAGATCATGCCACTGCACTCCAGCCTGGGCAACAGAGCAAGACTCTGTCTTGAAAAACAAAACACAAAACACATAACTAATCTCCTGGTCCGCCAGGCTCCAGGAGTTTGCATGAAACCCTTCTTTAAGTCCTTAGCTCTCACTGCATTCCTTCCCAGTTCTCCAGATTGGCTGTCTCAGCCTCTGAGCCACTGCCTTGCTGTTCCCTCTGCCTGGAACACTGCTCCCTGGCCTCCCACTTTATAATAATTTTCATCCTTGTCTCAGCTCCAATCTCACCTTCTCAAAGAGGCTTGTTCTGCTTGATTAAAAAAAAAAACTGCACCCAAGGCCAGGCCTGTAGTCCTAGCACTTTGGGAGGCTGAGGCAGGTGGATCACTTAAGGTCAGGAGTTCAAGACCAGCCTGGCCAACACGGTGAAACCCTGTCTCTACTAAAAATACAACAATTAGGGCCGGGCGCGGTGGCTCAAGCCTGTAATCCCAGCACTTTGGGAGGCCGAGGCGGGTGGATCACGAGGTCAAGAGATCGAGACCATCCTGGTCAACATGGTGAAACCCCGTCTCTACTAAAAATACAAAACATTAGCTGGGCATGGTGGCGCGTGCCTGTAATCCCAGCTACTCAGGAGGCTGAGGCAGGAGAATTGCCTGAACCCAGGAGGCGGAGGTTGCGGTGAGCTAAGATCATGCCACTGCACTCCAGCCTGGGTGACAGAGTGAGACTCTGTCTCAAAAAAACCACAAATAACAAACTGCACCCGATTCTCAGTCCATTGTAGTGGCTAGTGCCTGTAATCCCAGCTACTCAGGAGGCTGAGGCAGGAGAATTGCCTGAACCCAGGAGGCGGAGGTTGCGGTGAGCTGAGATCGTGCCGTTGCACTCCAGCCTGGGTAACAAGAGCGAAACTCCGTCTCAAAAAAAAAAAAAAAACAACACAACAATTAGCCAGGCATGGTGGCGTACCCTTGTAATCCCAGCTACTTGGGAGGCTGAGGCAGGAGGATCGCTTCAATCCAGGAGGCAGAGGTTGCGGTGAGCCGAGATCGTGCCATTGCACTCCAGCCTGGGTGACAGAGTGAGACTCTGTCTCAAAAAAACCACAAATAACAAACTGCACCCGATTCTCAGTCCATTGTAGTGGCTAGTGCCTGTAATCCCAGCTACTCAGGAGACTGAGGTATGAGAATACCTTGAATAGCTTGTCACAATGCCGTTGTAATTTTCTTTATGAAGCTAGATTTTGCTTAATTTATGATTGTTCCTCCCTGCAATTGTTAGCTCCAGGAGGGTAGGATTTTTGTGTGTTTTGCTCACTGCTGTGTCTTCAGCACCCAGATCAGTGCCTGGCATACAGTAAACGCCCAATAAATCGTGAGGCAAATGAAGGAATGATCTTGACATGCTCTATAAAGGGAAAGGCCACCAGATCTCTGAAACAGAATGAGCAAAGGGAAGAGGTGGCAGGGGTCAATTGCATAGGGCTTTGCAGGCTGTTGAGGAGTTCTATTTTACTAGGTACTGTGGGAGGTGTTGGAGGATCCAGAGCAGGGGAGAGACATGATCTCACCTGTGTTTTAAGATGAGCTCTTGGGCTGGTCGGGTCAGGGGGAAGGTTGCAAGTTTGCAAATAGACTCTGCTTCACCTACTTTGCAGGAAAATTGACCTAGGAATTGCTTTCTCTTACAAAAGGAGGCCCAGCAGGTGCTGGCCCAGCCCCAACCCCTGCCCCTACCCTGTGCTCTCTCCCTCCAGGCCCCTGAGTGCCAGAGGTGGTGGTGTTGCTTATCTGCTAGAACCCCATGCAGCCAGAACCCAGGCCTAGCAGGGCTGGGGCCTGCAGCAGATTCCTGCCCCTGCGGTCACAGTGCCCCGAGGGGGGAGGGGACGCAGTGATGTACGCCTCCACGGAGTGCAAGGCGGAGGTGACGCCCTCCCAGCATGGCAACCGCACCTTCAGCTACACCCTGGAGGATCATACCAAGCAGGCCTTCGGCATCATGAACGAGCTGCGGCTCAGCCAACAGCTGTGTGACGTCACCCTGCAGGTCAAGTACCAGGACGCGCCAGCTGCTCAGTTCATGGCCCACAAGGTGGTGCTGGCCTCTTCCAGCCCTGTCTTCAAGGCCATGTTCACCAATGGGCTGCGGGAGCAGGGCATGGAGGTGGTGTCCATCGAGGGCATCCACCCCAAGGTTATGGAGCGCCTCATCGAATTTGCCTACACAGCCTCTATCTCCATGGGCGAGAAATGTGTCCTCCACGTCATGAACGGTGCTGTCATGTACCAGATCGACAGCGTTGTCCGTGCCTGTAGTGACTTCCTGGTGCAGCAGCTGGACCCCAGCAACGCCATCGGCATCGCCAACTTCGCTGAGCAGATTGGCTGTGTGGAGTTGCACCAGCGTGCTCGGGAGTACATCTACATGCATTTCGGGGAGGTGAGTGGGGGGCGGGGCTAGGGGTAGTGTCAGGCGAAGGAACAGGGATGGAGGAGTGCTCATCGCCATCTCCCCTTGAGATGTGAAAGGTCACTGTCTCCCATTGAGATATGAAGGCAGGAAAATGGAGAAAAAGGAGGTTCTGGACTGGGCATGGTGGCTCATGTCCACAGTCCCCACACTTTGGGAGGCTGAGGTGGGAGGATCGCTTGAGGCCAAGAGTTCAAGACCAGCTTGGGCAACATAATGAGACCCTGTCTGTAAACAAACAAACAAACAAGAAACAACAAGGACTGAGCTTGGTGGCTCACGCCTGTAATCCCAACACTTTGGGAGGCCAAGGCAGGTAGATCACCTGAGGTCAGGAGTTCGAGACCAGCCTGGCCAACACGGCGAAAACCCATCTCTACTGAAAATACAAAAATTAGCTGGGCGTGGTGGTGTACCTGTAGTCCCAGCTGCTTGGGAGGCTGAGGCAGGAGAATCTCTTGAACCTGGGAGGTAGAGGTTGCAGTGAGCCGACATCGAGCCGCTACACTCCAGTCTGGGTGACAGAGCGAGACTCAGTATCAAAAA